CTACTCGCTATAGCTCTACTCGCTATAGCTCTACTCTTTACAGCTCTACTCGCTACAGCTCTACTCGCTATCGCTCTACTCGCTACAGCTCTACTCGCTACAGCTCTACTCGCTACAGCTCTACTCGCTATCGCTCTACTCTGCTCGCTATAGCTCTACTCGCTAAGTCTCTACTCGCTATAGACCTACTCGCTATAGCTCTACTCGCTATAGCTCTACTCTCTACAGCTCTACTCGCTATAGCTCTACTCTCTATAACTCTACTCGCTATAGTTACTTACCCACATATTTTCACTCCATAGTCACTCTCATTTCAGCTTTTACCTAGTTATTTTTAGCAAAACTAGTTCATGGATTTCCATTGCCTGACTGGCCTGACGTCAGCGCATTCGATGATTGCCTATTTATTAGTCGAATGGCAAACAATGCACTCGCCAACACAAAGCGCTTCAATTATGCATGCGTTTATGCACGTGCGTTTAAGGGTTTCGATTGTCCGTCTATCAACGCACTTCTCAGTTGTCAAGTGCCATTAAAAATGCAAAAGACAGAGACAGAAAGCGAGAGAGAGAGAGATAGAGAGTGCGTGTGTGTGTTGGCCCTTTGACTGCTTGACTATGTAATTAGTATTTGATGCCGGCCGGAGCTATCGATCCGTTTGTTTGAGCCTCCACTCGTCGCATTATCGTCGTCCGTCCTGGCCTGTCCGACATGTCTGGCAATTGAATTGCTAAGTGCATAGTTGAAGCATAGCTCGAGCGTCGCTTTTAATATGTAATTGAACATTGGCTAAAGTCCAACTAATTAGCCGGCCATCTAGGGGCTAGGGAACTTATCAATCTGCACTGCCTTGACATCCCCAGTCCCCCTCCCTCAATTGCGCAGAGCCGAGCAATAAAACTTGCCATTGTGACTGACTGACTGAGTGTGGCGAGAGATGCGAGGGGAGCTCTGCCAATTGCCAAAGCCGGAAGCACTAAAACCGAACTTGAGCTGCCTCGTGGGAGCGACGACAACTCGTTATATCACACACCACACCAGCCAAAATAGTTTGGCCACAAACTTTGGCCATGTGCGTCAACAACAACCAGAGTGAGGCAAAAGTTCGCTCGTGCATTTCCCCCTTTGGCACGCTTCGATCTGCGCATACCCTATACAGACCTCATATATCAGAAGTTGTCAGATTTTTCGGAATACATGTCTTGATAGTGAGTTATGGCTTATTTGTAGTGGAAGTTAAAGGGAGATTCCTCTAAGCTGTGCAAAACTTCAACTGCACGACTTGATGAACTTTTTAAAGATTTACCAAGTGTGGAGCTACATATAAATATTTATAATTTCTTATTTAAGAATTCGGTGTTGATGTTAGACTTAACAAACTTTCATATTCAAGATATTTTAATGTTATACCTTCTTAAGTGACAGCACGAGCTTTTTCAAAGCTGTTGAGAAACATAAAGAAAGGAGATTTCATTGTTAACCAATAAGTCAGCTGATGAAACATTGACTTCGACTAGGTTTTAGATATTTTCAATAAAAAAGTTACTTAAAGTTTTTGGTCAATATACAATCGTGCTTTAAAGCTGTAAAGTTTCTGCTGTAAAGGAGCTTGCCTTTACTTAATAGACTTTACAAATAGACTTTATATTAATATAATATCAATTTCTCAAGCCGAAGGCTTTCAAGTTAGCTTAAAACTCTATGCTTTTTTTCATACGTTAATAAAAAAATAATATTTACTTTACTCTTTCAAAAGAGCACATTAAAGCTCTTAAAAGCTTAGTAGACATTTACAGTTGCAGCTAAAAGCTTTAAAGCCTCTATTCTAATGCAAATTATACAATAAGCTTTTCGCTTGATGAACTTTCAAAAGCTTTAAAGTTGAATATAATTCCATATGCGCTTTCACTCTAAACTAAAGCCAAACCAGTAATCCTAGCCAATACGCCCATCAAACTGTTGGCTCTCACAGAAATATATTTTAGTTTTTCGTTTTCTTTCATACAAAAGTTGTCAAACTAACCTCAGGCGAAGCTCAAAGCTCTGTGGTTGACAGAGGCAGAAGGGAATAATTCCAAGTGTGAGCTCGATTGTAAAGTGCATTTTTGTATTGTTTATTTGGATGTGTGGTGTCATACAATGTGGAATTGTCGCTGTTGGGGAAGTGTTCAAAATTGAAGTGCGGCACGCCCACCGCCCTTTCCACCAGCTGGCTGTGTCAGGTGCTTGGCAACCGAACGGCCACGAAAAAGCCAACGAAAGCCAAAGTCGACTTTGCATGTGCAATGTCAAGGCTATCGGCAATTGTTTTGCCTGCCATCGTCGACCCGCCCCTGGCACTGGCACTGGCACTGGCACCTGCCCCTTCAACAGTAGCGCCACTGCTCGTGCCCCAAATACATTTTCCGTATCCACTTTCCGCTTGCCATTCGCATGCCTCTCCCATATTTCTCGCCCAATTGTTTTCGTCATTATTTATGATTATTATTTCATCGTCTTGGCATGGGCGTATCAAGGCCGAGTCCTCACAATCGAGGCGATAACGACGATGCCAAGACCAAGACCCTTGGCCATCCGAAAATACTTGGCTCTATTGTATTTATCGGCTTTGCTAAGTACCAATTGTTTCTGCTCGAAAGGCGCACTGTTGTTGCCCCTGGCAACTGGCAATGATGGTATAGATTTCGATAAGTCGATAACTTTGCTAGCTCAGCGTCCGGTTTGCTAATCGTCAAAATTGTGGCAACAGTGTAATGGATATGTGCAAGTAGAGGCAGAGTACAAGACAAGTTGTATTACCTTGACGTTGCTGCCTTTTATTGATAAAAAATATTCAACTGATATCGATATGTTGCTAGACATAGATATAGGCTATGGGTAAATTCTTAGTATTATTGGCTCGTTATTGTATGCAATGATATTATATCTATATATGATTATCGATCGTAAAAGTTGAGCTAATACTAATAATTTAATCGATTTCGATAAGTCGATATGGATGCTTGAGAGAAATATTGTATATAGTTGTGGATAAATCTGAAATAATAATCTTACTAGTCAGTTCGCAGGATTTCATGGGTAGATTGATCTAAGATGTCATTAAAGTTTCGATAAATCGATAACTTTTACGGAAGTCCCCTCGTTATGTCTATAACCAGACTAAAAGCCAAGTAAAAAGACATATTGATATGAATATATAAAAATAGCATAGCCATATCTAAATATTTATCGATTATAGCAATAGTAAACCAGCTTCGATAAGTCTTTATCTGTACTCAATAGCATATGTCTAACGATAAGATTTGATCTCCACATCTCGTATCGATATATGTATACGGATTTCAAGATGTAGTACTTCAATTCAAGCGCTCCAGTGTGACCAAATCAAACGATAAACAAGATAACAGTCGATGCACAACTCGAGCCAATTGCAACGGCAAGCATAATAACGTAAGCACGTAAGTACGTAAGCACATAAGCCCTTAAGCACGTAATCGAAGCGGATCTGTCAACTGCTGATTTGCTACATGGGGCAACTCGGATGGGTTAGGGCATCATGTTGGGGGAGGGGGTGTTGCCGAAATGGGGCGTGTCAGCTGCAGTTGCAATGTCATGCTAATCAAGTGTCAAGCATTTTGGCGTGTTGGTAATTACCTGTGTAGCAGCACAAGCAGCTCAGCATACAGATTACGAACAGCAGCCAGGATATGCCGCTTGCCGGCAGCGCAGTCGAGTGCCTAATGCGCATTGCTGCTGCTGCTGCTGCTGTTGCTCCTGTACTTGCTGCTGTTGTTGTTGTTGTTGCTGCTGTTGTGCAGCGTCGTCGCCAGCTCGTGCTGCTCTCATTGATTGTTGTTGTTGTTGCTGCTGCTGGCGTGCGCCACGTTGCTGCTGCCGCTGCTGCTTCTACTGCTGCTGCTGCTGCTGCTGCTGCTGGCCGCCCAGTGGAGCGCTTTGTCATTGTCAGGCGATGATTTTGAACTTGGCTGAGCCACTGCCACTGCCAGTGCTACTGTCGCTTCCACTTCCACTTCCTCTGCCTCTGTCTCTGCCTCTTCCACTTTCACTGGCGCTGCACAGCTCCTACGTGGGCTGGCCCTTCAGCTGTTGTTGTTGCTGTTGCTGCTTTGCGAGCAGAGCTGTAGAAAGTTAAACATAGTTAAGTTGATTGGCATAGAGACAGGCTGTGCTCAGCTGTCGTTTGGCCTTCATGCTGTTTACACTGCACGAAATCGGGACACGCCTGAGCACAGCGAACAAAGCACAGACATACAAGAACATCGCAAAAAATTATTAGGAAAATCCATTCCAAATGCAGCTCAACTTATTTCCCATTTCTTCGTCCTCTTTCTTTTTATATGGCTCTGACAAATTTGCTCTCGGAACTTGCTGCAGCTTTTCGCTGCGTGTATTAAGCGGCTCACAGTGACTGCACTAAGTATCTCAAAGATGCTTAAATGGAGTGCACGCCAATGAAATATGTTCGATTCGCTTGACTGCCAGCATTGCGTATACGTAATATGTCAGCTATATTTCAAGCCTTAAAGGCTTTACGAGTTTTTCTCTTTTGATTCTGGATACAAATTGAGTGCAGTAAAAATACGACTGAAATACTGTTGGATGGGCATAAAAATATATTGTCAAATTTGCAAGCGTATCTCTATAGAAAGTCATCTATAAAGTATACAAACTCTACTCTTAGATCTTCCTTTGCTTCGGCTCAACTAAAGTCCTCAAAACCTTATTCATGAGCCCATGATTATGTGAGTAGAACAAATAATAATGAATGCATTTCTGATAACATACAGAACATGCTCTTGTAGGGAATCGCTGGATCGAATATACCCTAGAGCTTGGACGGAACTGCTATATCATTCACTCTATGCTTCTCTCATATGCACAAGGTGCGAAACAACATATTCCTACTGCTTATCGTATACTAGAGACATTTCAAGTCCCTAGTTTGTGTACAGTCGGGGTTAGATTAACTTAGCTCATCATCCTGATTAAGTTTATCTACACTTTATGGGGTCTGCCATGCTTTCTTCTGCTCATTACCTACACTAATATTTTGCCGGAGTAAAAAGTAAAGTAAAACTCTGTAACTGGATGCACACGTTAATATTTTAAGGAGAGCTCCACCTATGTAGATTATACCTCAACTTGCTATAGGTTTACATGTACCGGTGGCTTAATTATTGAATATCATTACTAGATCCGAAATTGTTAAAGATTGTCAAGTGGGTTCAAGAGCAGTCACTCTCGCTAACTTCCTTCGTTATATACTTTTCTCTTACTGGGTATATAGGTCTTAACATACATACATACATTCTATAGTAGAGTATATGTAACTAATATATAGATCAAAACTTGGTTTACAACTCTTAAGGATTTTCATAAGGGTTTTAAGGGCTTCCTTATAATTTGGAATTATAATCGCGAGCAAAAGTTGGCTCTATGAGCTGTCTTGGTAAATGTATAAAATATCGAGTGTTTGTTCTATAAACTCTCTTGTTATATGTAGAAAATAAGGAGCTCTTGACATATTCAACATATATATTTGTTCTATTGCTTTAAACTACTCTATGGAGAGAGAAAGAGAGAGAGAAAGAGAGACAGTAATTGATATACACTCTCTATCTATATAAAGACTAACAATTCATTTGCTTCTTTTAAACAGAAAGCATTTACAGTTTTTTGCCTATTGATATCATATTTTATGCAAAATCTGTAATTGGATCGATTATATTGATATTATCCCCACACTCGCTGCAGCAGGACTCGCTACTTACTTACTCAATTCAATATTTGGGCCAGTTTTATGTAGCTTCTCATATATTTGTAAACTTATATATATTGATTTTTGATTGTTGTAAATTTTGCTTAAGATTTGTAATTGCTTTTGCCGTATTTTGTGTTGTTTTGGTTTTTTTTATTTTATTTATATATTATTTTTAAATTTTGTTCACTTGCTGTTTGTTTGGCACTTAAGAAAAGTTATCGCTAATGCTCTGATGCTTTTGCTTTCGCCTAGATGCACGTGTGTGTGTGTGTTAGAATGTGTGTGTGTGTGTGCGTCTGTGTGTGTGCATATTATAGCGCTTGGCAATGCGGCCCAAAGGCGAATCAGCTGTTCCGTATGATGCTGCCAGCGCCTTTGGCAGCGGCCTCGCATGTTTACAACATATTTGCAGCAAGAGAGAGAGAGAGAGAGAGAGAGAGAGAGGAGTAAAGAGATAGAGGGAGGCGCAGAACAGAAGTGGAACGAAATGCGGATGCGGGCGAGGCGGCTTTGGGGCCAGGCCAAGCATTTCGGCATTTCGTTTGCAGTTGAGGCAGCTGCCAAGAAATTGTTTGCGCTATCTTCCTTTTGGCCTCTTGCGGTTGCTTTCACACACACACACACACACACATACATAGAGAGAAAGTGAGTGTGCCAGAGTGAGAAAGAGAGAGAGAGAGAGCGCTGCTCGGTGTCTTTAATTTCAATCTTATAAATTATTCGCATAGCTCGACTGCGACGAGTTTCACAGCGCGCTTTATGGATTTTCTTTGACACACACACACACAAACACAGAAAGACACACACACACACACGCACGCACACATTCGGCACGCGCATTGATTTTCTCTTATTTGCCTTTTTATGTTTGTTTGTTGTTGTTTCTCGTTTGGCCTGTTTCAGGACATTTCAAGGCCTCTTCCAACTTACATCTCACGTAAAATGTTTCACTTTGACACCGAATTTCGCACGCGAGCACTAAAAATACTTAAAGCAATGATGACAACAACAAAAACAGCAGAAAAAAAAGCACACACAAATTTACACACACAGGCACAGACACACGCACGCACACACACGCACACACACATGAAAACAAAACAAAAAGCACAAAACACACACACACACACACACACACAAAATTCGCGTCCACCTTCCACAGGGCACGTTGCCGACAAAATGGCGAGTGGAACGGAATGAAGCGAATGGAGCGAGAATGTAAAGCGCGGCGAACGCAGCAGCAGCAGCAGCAGCAACAGCAGCAGCAGCAGCACCGACAGCAGAAGCAGTAACTAGCGTAAAATGCCAACAACAACAACAATAACAATAACAATGGTAAATGGCAAATGCAGCAACAAATAAAGTGCCGTCTCACCCACAGGAGCAGCGACTATTTGTTGTTGTCCGTTCTTTCGCTTTTATTGTTGGCTAGCGCTGTCGTTGTCGCTGTCGCTGCCTGCGTCACTGCCGCAGCCGCTGCCGCTGCCTCGGCTATTAACTGCGATATATTAACTTAGCGTCCACAACGAACCGAGAGCTGGTGTATCCGAGCTGAATGCCGAATCGAGCGTCGCCAGCGACTGCTACGTCGCGCTTGCAAATGTCAACTGAGTTGCGGCTGTTTGAGGCGGCTGCGCTGCGAACGTGTGCGAGCCTGTATGAAGCGCTCAGTCGAACGCAACGGCATGTGCTGCAACATGTTGCAATGGCGCGTGCCATGCATGCACACGAATGCTTAAGAAAATACATATAATATTAAATCGGTTTAATTTAATGATAATAAAACATATTAAATTAATAATCATTTAAACATATTTTTTATTTCTCATTAAAATATTTTAATTTTTTTTTTTATACGCTTGCAACTTTTAAACTCTAGCATACAACGCAGCTGTCACACGCAACATGTTGCGAGCGTGAGAAAGCTGCGAAAGTGTTGCAATAGCAATGCAACTAAAGAAAAATGGCTAAAAGCTTAACCAGGAAAAGCTTTGTGAGCAAGCTTTTAGCATATTTTGCGACATCCAGCACATGCATAGAGCTTTAAAGTGGTTTTCAACTGAAGCAAGAGGCAAATGAAACGACCAAAAGCTTTTTCTTTGTAATTAGTTTGGAAATTATTTTATTTCAATATATTTCATATTAATCAGTAGTTCATATTTTTCTGCTCTTCATGTTTTAAACTTTTACACAAAAATACATGTGTGAGTGTGTGTGTTTGTATGTGTTGTCAGTGTATGTGAGCGAGTGGCATGAGTACTCGTTTGCTATGCGAGTAGAACCCCTTAGGTAGGTACTCATAGTCGTATTCATATTCGTATTCGTGTTCGGATTCGTATTCGTACTCGTTTACTCGTGCTCGCTGTTGTCCAAAACATTTTCAATATTGGACTTAACTTAAATGTTAAATACGATTTTCTTTTTTATTTATATTTATTTTTTATTTTCAATTTCAAGATTTTCCATTTAAATGCAGTTCAGAAAAAGTTTTTTTTTTGTAATGTTTTATTATTTTGTAGTATGTTTGTTGTTTGGGTTTTGGAATTTCGGTATTTTCTTCTTTAGTATTTTATTATTTTCTGTGTGGGTTTTTTCTTTGAATAAATATATATATTTGTTTGGTATATACCAGCTGTGTTGATAGTGTTCATATACAGATATATCATTTATATGACATTATGATAGTACTTAAATGTTTATTGTTGCTGCTTTGTCGTTAATGCATTTGAGTTAAATATTTCATTGTACACATAGATTTCTCATATTTCTCAGATACATACACATATATGTATATAGTACATATATATATGTTAGATATATTTTTATTTTATTTTTGTATTCATTTTGAATGATTCTTTGGGTTCGTTAACAAGTTGTACTTGTATTTCTTTGTGTGTGTATTTTTTTCTTGCTGTTGGTATTTTTCTTTGAATGTTTTGTGGGTGCTGTACTCATACCGCTTGTAAATAGTTTCCAACTGCTTTAGTATTTTGTCATCAGAATTTCAATTTTCAATGCTTCTTAAATGAGGGGGGAAAAAAAACTTGGCATACACACATGTATGTATGTATGTATGCATGCATATGTATATATAGATATTTGGTATTTGTATGGTATTTTCTTTTTAGTATTTTACACTTAAGTTTCGCTGCTGCTGCTAATATATGTATGTATATATGTATGTATTTGCCACTTATACAACAAGTTGTGCATAGAGATTTGCAGTATTTCTTTTTTATTTATATAATATAGTATTTCTTCTTTACTTCATATATGTATTTATGTATGTATGTATGTATGTGTGCGTGTGTGTCTGTCTGTTTCGTGAGTTCTCTTTGAATGCGTTTCAGTTAGTTTCTCGCGCTAGTTACAGCTGCTTTCTTTTGTCTTCTGTTTTTGCTTTTGTATAGGTATACCATATAATTGATTCCATATCATTTTCATAACTTTCTTCTTTTAGTATTTATTTATGTATATATAATTCATTTATTTTGTTCAACAACTTCTTAAGTTTTCTTTAGGGCTCTCCACGTAATTTCGGTTTCTTCTTATAAATAATAACTATGATCTGATCTCTTTTAGTATACATATATATATATAGCATATATCTGTATATAGACTTCTTTTATTGACATACATTTATATATAAATATATATCGAAAAGAACATATATATCTATATATATGTTTTTTTTTTTTTTTTTTTTTTTTTAATTGGATTTTCTAGGACTCTTTTCATTTTGTTTTTGGTTAAAACTTCTTACCTGTTTGTGTCTGTGTGTGGGCCTTGATAAAGAGTGAGTGAGGCAGAGTGAAGAAGAGATAGAGAGTGAGTGAGAGGGAGCATCTAGGCTTCGGCCTGCCGAAGTATGCTTTACTAATAGTATTCGTAATACTCATACTCTATTTAAAATTGCATTAAAGTTTTGGTTCATCCTTATCCCCGATTTTTTTGTTATTCTTGTATAATAAAATGTAGTCTTTGTTTTTGTTTTGTTTTGTTTTAATTAAAGGCTTTTGGTTTGAAAGTTCAGGAGGGTCGCTAGTATTTAGTATATACATATACCATAAATATATATAGTATAGTATGTATGTATGTATATAGTACTTAGTATATAGTCTCTATGCACTTAAATATACTTCTCTAACAGTGCACTATTTTGTATCTCTGTGTGTGTGTGCTTGTGTATGTGTGTGAGAGAGAGAGAGAGAGAGAAAGAGCGGAATTCTGAAATGAAATTATAAAGTATCGGGCATTGCCTTGCCCTATAGATAATGCCGTATCCGTTTGTGTCACTGGCAACAGTTGATGTCTCTCGATATCTCGATAACAATGAATGAATCATGGTTAAAGCGCTCTGATGCACTACTGTGGTCCGTTATCGGTGGTTGTAGTCGTTATCTTGGGATTAATATCAACTTGAACTCTACACTGTCAGATATATGTGTATATTCAGATTGGACTGTATCTTGCATATACTCTCTTTAAAGGGGGCTTTCTCTGCAGACGTGTGTGTGTGTGTGTTGAGTGGCATGGAAACCGTTTTGGAAGTTCGTAACGCTCTCGCTTTCAATTGTAAGATACGTAAAAAAGTATAAAGTAGTTGCCTTGGCCGTCAACACTAGTAGCTATATATACGATATTCAATATATGGCATATACGATATTCGAAAGTTGATTCGAACGATGATATACGATATTCGTTATCAATAGGATATGGTCCAATATATCATCTATCAAATTCTGTATATTTATGTTTATACCGTAGACCGTGCGTTATACGATGTACGATATACAATTTTCTATATACCATATACATTGATATAAGATACTTGATACATAATATACGATTTACGATATTCAATACGCGGTATAATGAACATACGATATTCAATATACGATATACGGCCTGTAATATACAGTATGCAATGTTACTGTTAAGATATACTGCATGCGATACATGATATACGATATACAATATATCATATACGTTATAGGCCAAACAATATATCATATACTATAAATCATACGATATACGATTCACATTATACGGTATAATGATATACAATACATCATGTACGGCCTTACGATACCTTATACACCATATACGATATACGTCCACCAGTGTTTCGGGCTTGAGCTAGCTGTGCTGTAAATAGTGGACAGGTAGTTGTGGTTCATAGTGTTCAATTTCCTTGCCGTCCTTCGATTCGTAGGTAACATTTAACTATTTTGTCGTTATATCCTATGTGTATATTATTTTGTTTTGCTGTTGGTTTTTGTTTTAACCGTACAATTATTGGGAAACGAGTAATACGTATTATCTAGTATGTAGTTATTGTGTGTATATGTGAAGCATGCTGCTAGTATATTCAGTAAATATTTTGTTCAAAGTGTTTCTTCATTCAGAGAATGTTTTCTAGTTGTAGTTATAATTGTTGTTGCTGTTGTTGTTTGGTCCAAATTGTTAAGCCTTTTCAGATCTTAACTATGTTCGATCCAGCAACATGAATTGAAATTTCATTTCTCTAACTTTACTTTGAGTCGCTTTAGTTTTTGAACTTTGTTGGGCTTGAACTTTTCTAGTTTGTTTCTTGAGTCAGTGGTTGTAGGGGGTGCGTGGGGGCGTTGGGGCGTGGCTGTGGCGTGTGGGCTTTTCATTAATTGACTGCCAAAATAGTTGACTAAAATTTACATCGATAAGCATATTTCTCAGATTCTAGGCTAATTAAAGTATGCTTAAAATTTCTTTAATCTCAATTTTTTTTGGTTTCTTTTCTAATTTTTTATACATTTTGTAAAACACCTAGAATTTTTTTTATGTATATATATAGTTTTTTTTTTTTTCATTTTTAGTTTTTTTAGTTTTTAGGTTTAGCATTAGTTTTTTTTTTTTGGTTTGTTGGAAAGGTTTTTGTAAATTCAAGTATTTAGTCTTTATGTTTTTCATCATTAAACAAGGGAAGTTGTGTGACGTTTTTCGTTCTGTTTTTGGGTTTTATTTCAAATACAACACAAATACACATAACATTGTCACCAATACATACAACTATATATATATATGTGTGTGTGTGTGTGTTTGCTTGTTTGAGTATGTAAGCGACATCAGATACTGCTTATTATCGTCTAACACTAACATACACAACTCAACTCTAAAAAGTTACTCAATATTCCAGCTAGTATACATACATATATGTATGTATATTTGTATGTGTGTCAGTTTAGTTAGAATTCTAGTCTAACTACCAAAAAAAAAATATGGTATGTATATATATTTATATAAATCTATAGACATCGACATCGAGCAAACTTGTTTTCATGATTATTTTTGATGTTGTTGTCATTCGATTCAACAAACATTTATTTTAGTTTTGCCTTTAACTGACAACAAGTACAACAACAACAACAAGAACAACGCGGACGATACTTAACTACGAAAAATAAAAATCAATTCAAAACTAGCAAAACCAAATTTTCTATTACAATTAGTTTAAAACAAATACAAACACACACATAATATATACAAATATGCATGTATGTATATATATCGATATAAATACATATATATATATATTTACTTTTAATTTTCTGATTATTTTGCATTATTTGCTAGACACTTAAAAATGTTTGTAAACTCTTAAATCTATGCCGCTCGGGCTGAAAAAATAGCTTGAAAAAGAAAAAAAAATGATTTGGGAAATTTATAGCTTAGCAGTTGACATTTACACTTATTGTTTACACCTATGTATATATATATACGTATATGTATATATGTGCGTGTGTGTTGTGTGTGTGTTTTCTTGTTAGCCAAGTACCAGCTTGGCTTCATTGACGCTCTGCTTATAGGAAGCTTCGCAGGGGCTTTGCTCAGGCAGCGCTTAGAAGTAGGCAACACTTTTTTCCATTTGCTGCATTCACTTGTTTGACATGTGTGTTAGTGTGCGCGTGTGTGTGTGTGTGACTTAGCATTACATTACATACAGAGATTTACATTGATACACATAGTTCGCTTCATTTATATATATAACATATTCTCATTGGACTTGAATTTAACAATTGTTAAGTGAGTAAAGATCGAAACTCTTTACGTTTTACTTCAGTTTCAGTTTCGATTTGGGTTTTCATTTCTTTGAAATTCTTTAACATCCTGCTTGGGATATGTTGTCATATAGGTATTTTTTAATATATATTTTTTTTAAGTTCTCAATTGTCTTAAACTTGATTTTTAATTCTTCATTACTTTTAAATATCCTGTGGTGTAGCTTTTGTTTTCGAGCGTCATTGCCATTGAAATGTTCTTGACTAGGTTGATTAAAAAAAAAATACTAAAAAAAACCGAATAGTAAATAACAATAATAATATATAAATAAATATTTTAATATGTGATATTTGAAAATATATAAAATAAAAACAGAATTTCTGTCTATCTACCTACCATAAAGTAAAATCAATTTTTTGCGATGTTTTCGATTTATGTTTCTTTGAATTGTTTCTTTAACAATCTCGTATCTGAAAGCCCCGTTAATTGGGTATCGTAGGAAATATATTTAATGTACTATCAATATTAAAGTTTGGCTATCCAAAAAAAGCTTTAGAACAAAAATATGCTGAAATAATATAAATTATATTGAAATCGAGGCTCGATTTTTATCGATAGTCAGCTTAAAGAAAATCTCAAATTATATCAAGTACATTAAAATTTGTGCATCCTAATCTTACCAATGATTTCCAAAAGAATTTTATGAAATATGTGGAATATATTAAAAATCAGGTCTATCGCAATTGAACGATAATTTCCAATCGATGTGCGCATTTCTCAGCAAATTCGCTCAAATTTATAATATTCTCAATCCAGTCTTAATAGACGAGTATAATGCATAACACATGGCTCTAAATTAAACTAATCAATCGAGTCTCGATAGTTTGTATCCCGTTAAATAAAAAATTCCGATAAATGCTAAAAATTAGTTCTCGATAATTTGAATTCCTGTTTAAATCGAAGATAAAATGGACTCCTTGCCATTTTGAAGTTTCGGGTCTCGACTGCATTAGACAAATAATCGAGAAACTATCGACAGCGCAATCGTTGTTCAGCTTTTCAACGCTTCAGCTCTCAAATGGATAATTGAAGCTACTCGCATTGGCTAGCCCGTGCGTAAAATTGCACTTGGGATAAAACGCAGCTGTGATCCACAGAGCGTGTGGCAGATAAGTGTACGCATGCTTGGGGCATGCCACTGGTTGCAGCTCAGCTTGCCGTTGCATGCCGTGGCAGCTGCCCACTCAGCACTCAATGCGAGCATTTCGAAATGAGATGCAAGTGCAGCTGCAGCGAGTGGGCTGCCAAATCTCGGTGTACGAATGTGCGAATGTGTGTGCGTGGCATGCAACTTGTGGCATTCTGATTGCATCGGATGCAGCCGCACTCGCATTCGCAGTCGCAATCGCATCGTGTATGCGAAATGCAAAATTTTTGTTTTGTGTAATTAAACGGGAACACATTTCGTATGCAGCCAATCGGGCCTTGACATGCAACAGACTGCGCCCAGCTGCCGGCTATTGCGGCATGGCCAATGCACACACACAAACACACACCCACACACCCACACGCACACACAAATCTCGCTCCATCAATCCGTTTTCCTAATCACTTTTTCACAATGTCCAATCGCAGTGCGATTGGCATTGACACATCGAGGCCAAGAAATGAAATAAATAAAATACTCAAAGCGTTTCAATTAAAATAATATATAATAATAATAATAATAATATAAAATATAATAATATTAATTTTAATATTTATCGATATAAAAAAATTAGTATAATCAATTAATTAATTGCATTTAAAATATTGTCAAGTAAATAATTAATAGACAAAATAAAACACGAACAGATTTGCATACAAAGTACTAAAATTAAAAAAAAAGGAAAATATGTTATCGATAAACGTTTGCCCGTTTATATTAATGAATATCGATATGTTTTTCGATATTTGCAGAATGTGAGCACGTTACGAATGCATAATTATCAGCTATTTCTGTTTGCAATCGATATAAGTTATCGATAAGCTATTGCATGTGGCTGACAAATGAACATCGATATGTTATCGAAACTGTAAGAATGTGAGTGTGCAGTAAATGCATGATAGTCAACTGCATATATGTTTTTAATCGATATGTAAGCGCATTCAACATCGATATGTTATCGAAACTGTCTGCCTGCGTTTGCTATAATTTTTAATCGCTACTATCGACAATAAATGCTATCGGACTATGTTATCAATGAACATTTGCTGTTTATCGATAATTTGCAATGAATGGTAATTGTGGATGTGTGATTATCGATATTAAATATGACTATGTTTAAGCGATAAGTGACCGCTGTCTTGTTATCGAACGAGTGTTACTGAGAAATGCTTAGTGGTAAATCACTTAACAGTTTGTTTGTGCTAGCAATGAGTGATCGATAAATGCTTATTGGTATTGTTATTGAGTCTAAAATGGGTTTTCGGCTAAACCATCAACGATTGACAAACGTTTATCGCTGAACTTAAAACAATAAATTAAAATTGAAATGTGCGTGCGTGCGTGCTGTTGTTGTTGTCGTACGGTTTCGATAGGCAGCTATCGACTATCGATGAACGATATCAATGGCAATGGCAATGTCAATGTGTGCATGTCTCTGTGTGTGTGTGTGTATCTATGTATGGGTGTGTACATGTCCGTGTAACAATTGTTGCTATATTTGGCATCGTCTCCTTACACATTCTCCGGCTCGGGCAGCTTGCGCTCACAGCAATGGCAGACGAGCGCATTGAGCCGCTGGCCAATGGCTGACCAGACGGTCATGGTCATCGATGAGACCTCACAGCTGGAGGTGTCCTGATGGAGAGCATCGGACTCACTGCTGCCATCCACGTCATCGCTGTCGTTGATGATAGCCTCCTCCTCTTCGTCATGCTCCAGTTGCTGCTGGTGCAGCAGCCGCTGGCGTCGCTCCTCCGGCTGTGGCTCCTCCTCCGTGCTGACCGTGTGGAATGCCGCCTGATTGCAGAGCGAGTTGTTTGTATTTGTGTTGGTCGTATCGGAGCTCCCCTGTTGTCAAATCTTTGGCACCGCCTCCGACGAGGAGCCGCTGGCCAGGCCCATCTCGCAGCTAATGCTCGGCGGCAATTTGATTGCACCGCCAGCAGCAGCTGCGGCACTCGCGCCACTGGCTCCACTGCCGCCCTCCTCAGCGCTGCCGATCCGAATACGTATGCCCGACAGCTCGCCAATGCCCATGCCCGTGCCCATGCCGCCGCTGCTGCTGTGCAGCGTGTTGTTGCTGTTGTTGTGCTCGTCGTGCCGCGACGACGACTTGCGGCTGCTGCTGTCCCCGGAGCTGTAGCGCGTCGCCGCATGCCGACTGCAGGGCACATCCAAGCTGTAGGCCCGATGCCGGCCCATGCCGCCCGGGGCCTGGCCAACAGCAGCCAATGGGGCGCCCGGCGTGGGGCTATTCGAAATGTTGCAATAGGTGCCGGTCGACTGGGTTGCTTTCGACTCGGCGTTGGGCTCGCCGGCGTTGTTGCTGCTGCTGCCAGTTGCATTGTTGTTGCCGCCGCCGCCGCCGCCGCCGCCGCTGCTGCCACGCACGGGGCAGGGACTGCTGCGTGTGCTGCCAAAGCGTTTGTTGCCCTTGTCAAAGCTGAAGCTAAAGTAGTCGGAGAACTGACGCAAACGCGACTTCCAAGAGGAGCTGCTGCTGCTGGGCTGCTGCTGCTGCTGCTGTTGTTGCTGCTGCTGGTGGTGGTGCTGATGGTGATGGTGGTGGTGCTGCTGCTGCTGCACGGTAACAACAGTTGCTGTTGCAGCACTGCTGCTGCGCGCACTGCCATTGCTGGCCAACGTTTGGGTCAGCGTTGGCGATATGTTGCCATTGGTGGTGCTGGCAGCAACAGTTGCTGCTGCTGCTGCTGCTACGTCTGTTGCTGGCAATTTGTCTGACTCGCGCAGCGACGACAACATTTGACTGTGCACCGTTTGCGGAGCTCCTCCTGCTCCTGCTCCTGCTGCTGCGCCCGCTTGACCCGCGCTGCTGCTGCTGGTGTTCATATTGAGGTCGCCCCCCTGAGCCGCGGCCGCTGCTGCCGTCGCCTCGAGACTGCCACGATTGGGTCGCCCGTAGAAGACATTGCTGTCCGAGATGACCTGGGGCAGGCCGTCGGACAGCCGGCGATTGTTCGTGCTGTACTGATCGAGGCTGACGGCACGATTGCTGCCAAAGTGACACCGATTGCTGTGGTAGCCGTGAATGTTGCCGTACGAGTTGCGTATGCGTTGCCCTCCGCCGCTGCTGCACAGCTCGCCAATCATCGAGGGCCGCTTCTCGCGCGACGATTTCCGTGAGGTGGAGTGCGACGATTTGCTGCGGTTGCTGCAGCCCTCGGTGTCCACCTTGAACTTGGACGTCTTCTCAGCCACCTTGCATTGGAAGAGCATTGAAAAGATGGGATATGCCCATGAGTTGATTAGGTTTCGATATTTTCTTTCTTTGCGGTTCTAGTACGAGTTCATGTTGTTGAAAGAGAGTACATTAGTGTTGTCGAATGTTTATCTATCAGTCCACCTGTCCATCCTTTCGTTTTTCCATATGTCAGGTCATCTATACATTCTGTATGTCCGTCCGTATATGTGTGCCTTTCTGTCCGTCTGCCCGTTTGTCCGTCTCTCTGTCCTTCTGCTCGTCTTCATGCCCGTTCGTATTTCTGTTCGTACGTATGTCCTTCCGTCTGTCTGCCCGTATGCCCTTCTCTCCGTTCATCCACCTGTCTGTCCATCTGTTCGTCCGTTCATCCGTCCATTTGTCTGTCCATCTGTCCGTATGTATATATATTCTTATATATATAGACCGTCCGATCTTCCAATATGTCCGTCTGTGAGTCCATAGGTTCGTCTATCTGTCCGTCCATCTGTTCGTTCGTATACTTAACTGACCATCAAATCCCTCTGTAAGTTTGTCGGTCCGTCTATCTGTCTGTCCGTATATTCAACTGACCGTCCAATTTCTCTATATGTCCGTGCATCTGTTCATTCGTATACTCAACTGACCGTCAAATCTCTCTGTCCGTTGTCTGTCTAGCTGTCCGTCTAGCATCTGTCTTGCCGTCCGTCCATCTTTGCAATCGTTCGTTTGTCAATCTACTCGTCCGACTCTCCGTCTATACTTTCATCTGTTCGTCCGTCTATCCGTCCGTCCGTCTGTTCGTCTGTCCGTCCGTCTGTTCGTCTGTCCGTCCGTCTGTTTGTCTGTCCGTCCGTCTGTCTGCCCGTCTGTCCGTCTGCCCGTTGGTCCGTCTGTCCGTGTGTCCGTCTGCTCGTCCGTCGGCTCGTCCGTCTGTTCGTCCGTCTATCCTTCCATCTGTTCATCCGTCTGTCCGTCCGTCAGTCCCTTTGTCCGCCCATCTCTTAATTCGCCCATCTGTCAGTACGTCCTTCTGCCTGTAAGTCTGTTTGTTTGTCCGTCTGTCCACCGATTTTAAATTTTTACTGGATGTCATTGAACTTACATCCACCTCGGTAGCTGTCTCCGAATCGCCGCTTTCGCTGCCCTCGGGCAGATCGTGGAGCTCAGCGCCCATGCCGCCTGGCTCATCCACGGAGGTGCGCGATGCCGACTTCTGTGAGGGTATGCTGCGACGTGACTTGACACTTATGGCAGAGCCAGAGCGCGGCATCTGAGGTGAGCCGCTGCCACCGCCACCGCCACCGCCACCGCCACCGCCACCGCCGCCAGAGCCAGCCCCAGCTCCAGCAGCTCCAGATCCGCCACCTCCGGCTCCAGATGCAGCATTCGAGCCCTTATTGTTGTCCAACAGCTGCTTGTCGGCCGCATTGTGCCCGGGCGTGCTGGCCATGGCGGCGTTCGAGTCCATGTTGCCGCTGTTGCTGTCCGATGTGGCCGAGGCATTGCTGTCGGCTACCGATTTGCGGGTCTTGGTCTGTGCATCGTTCAGGCGCCTGTGAAAATTGTCGAGCTTGAAATGCGTATCCTTTCAGCATGGCTCGACAACTCACCTGTAGTACTCGAGCGCAATGCGCACCGGTATTATGATGAGCTCCGTCAGCTCGGGCACCAGCTCGCCGAGGGCCTCGAAGAGCGGCAATAGCACAAGTCCAATGAAGCGCACCTGTGAGCCGGGCTTGCTCACCTTATCGGGATCCATGAACGGTGTCACCGGCAGCCCCTCCGACTTCTCGGCGGCGCTCTGGGCGAAAAACTCCTGCAGCAGACGATCCAACCACGGCTCAGCCACATCCATGGGCCGTGCCTCATTGGAGATGTCGGCCACCTTGATGAGTATCATGCACAGCTGGCACCAAAGATCGCAAATTAATACACTCCACTGTCTATGCATATCTGTTCAATGAGCGAGCTTCTCTTTACTTACCAGATTGATGTGCGCACGATTGTTGTAGTCGAAGACGGGCGTAATCTCAATGAACTGCGTTAGTATCTCATTGTGACGCGCCATGTCGGTGGCCAGAATGCAGCGAATGATGCCCTCGCGTATGGTACTGCAAAGAGAAATGGAGATAATGCTCAAAAACTAGAGTAAAGTGCGAACAAAGAGCGCTTTAAGTTCGCGCTCAAGCCAATTGTACGAGATGCGGGGCGTATACGTAATATTTTCGGGTGCACATTGCGTATACGCCATGCTCGGTGTGTTGTTTACCCGCTGCTTATCTGCCCCGACTCCCCCAACCACCCGATTCGCCCCATTCTATTTCACTATTTTTCTGCTTCTTTTTTTTTTGGTTCACGTGCGACTTGAGACTTGAGCTGAGCGCTGCTAACCGGAAAAAAAGCGAAAAATATATATTTTGACATTCAGAGCAAACAGAGTGGGAAGGCAACCAAACACGACGCAAGTGGACAAGAGAGGACGGGAGAGGGTGGGAGAGAGAGAGAGTGAAAGAGAGAATAGTTGCAGGCTAAGCAGCATGCGGCGCGTAAATATTAAATTGCATTTCGTTTATTTTGATTTCAAAGAAAATGAAAAATGTGCAAAAGTCGCGTCATATACGAGCGGAAAATTGAATTTTATCGTGTCAAGTGGCATTGACGTTGTGCACAGACAAACAGCTAGTCAGTCACCAGCTGCAGCGTGTGTGTGTGTGTGTGTATCTGTGTGTGTGTGTGGCACTTGAGTTTACTGCATTCGAAACTTCAACACCTGCCACGTCTCAACGGCAAATAGAGCGAAGCGAGTTTTATGCACTTGACTTAATGCCAGAGCCAGAGCCAAGCAACGACTTCGACTTTATTCTCTTCTGCGTCAGCTCCGCCTGCTGCTCATCGTCGTGTCTTGTCATTTGGTCGAGATTCCTTTTGCGAAATTCCCCGAATAATTATTGTTGGCGTTTCGAGAATGGAAAAGAAATCGAGCTTGAGCTGCCAATTTAAGCAGCTTGAGTAGACAAATCCAAGGTGAGTTTAATATGAATTTATCTTACGCGCAATAAGTATTACCTGTCATGTCAATCAGCAAGTCAGTGAATCATTCAAGCGATTGTTATATCAGCTTAATATTATTAGTTGGGCTGACAGTGAGTGAGGCAAGCAGTACAGCCGTCAATCAATCATTAGATTTAGTATTTAGTATAAATCGATAGATTATGATGCTGTTTATGTTCACTTAAGCTCAATCATAAGGCGAATATGTCAACCACTCAGTTGACCTAAGTAAAATACTGAGTCAATCAATCATTTGTTATTTAATTAAAGCTCAGTCAGGCATAAATTCAAGTATCCAGTATATTAGACAAGTATATTATCATTCAGTATATTATCATTCATTGCGGCAATTAGTACGTTAGTCAATCACCCAGCTAATCCATCAATCATGTTGTCCGTCACTTAATCAATCAATCATAGCATTATTTAGGAAGCTAGCAAGCGAGCCAATTATCTTATCATTCAATAAGTGACCCATTTCAGTCACTAAGCAAGTTAGTTCAATCACTCAAGCAATCATTAAGAGTTTGATAAACGAAAATGTGGCATCGATGATTGAGCCGACTAATCAATCAATTTAAATATTGTATATAAAGTTGGCGCGTCAATCATTTTACAGATCTGTCAATCATTTGGTTTGGCTCAGTGCTTGAATTATTACATTGCGGCATAAGTATGCTCGTCTAATCCTGAACGAATCTGGCAATAAATGAGTAAGACCATCAAACATGCCATCAATCAATCGGCTGGAGCACAATCAGTGAATCAACCATAATATAATTATTTATATTAGTTACTCAGTCAATCAATAAGGTCAATCAATTGACTGTAATGCAGTCACAATCAATCATTACAGCCAGTCACAATCAATCATTACAGCCAGTCACAATCAATCATTACAGTCAGTCACAATCAATCATAGCATTACTCACTAAATCAGTTTGTCAATCAAAGTAACAACGCATTATTGTACAAGTACATCAATCATGGTGTAGGTCGATCAATCACTACCAACAAAACAACCAGTAATCAATCATTAACTAACTTATAATGATGATTAATGATTGATTATTCAATAACTAACTTATAAGGATGATTAATGATTGATTATTGGCTACTTGGTTGTACTAATCAATCATTAACTAACTAATAATGATGATTAATGATTGATTATTGGCTATTTTTTTGGTAGTGATTGATCGACCTACACCATGATTGATCTACTTATGCAATAGTGCGCTGTTACTCTGATTTTTAAATGATTCAAGTATTTATATAGTTAACTGAAACGCTCTGAATAAGTCAACGATTTCTTTGCCATCTCCTCACTTCTCTAACTTTGGTGCCCGCCCTCGCCTGTTGTCTGTCGGCGCATCAGCACTCACTAACCCAATCGCCAACGATTTGGCATTGCGCAAAGCGCTCTCAATGTCAGAGCTTATCAGCGAGGGCTTATCAGCTGTTTGGCTGCTTAGCTGGCAGTCAAGCGGCGTTGATTCCGTGCTGAGCTGAAATTTCAATCAGTCCGGTTCTAAGAGAAAGTCGGAATGGCAACGTTCAACAATTGCCGATTGGCATGTCTACTGCTCCCGCTCCTCCTCCTCCTGCTGCTGCTGCTGCTCGTTGGCCAGAGCTGGGGACGCGCCACTGCCCACTGTGACCTGTCGGAGGCAGTGGACGCCATGGATGTCAGCAAGCCGCCGTGCGAGAATTTCCATGAGCACGCCTGCGGCAATTGGCATGCGCCGTACGGGCAGCGATCGCTGGGCGCCCACGATACGCGCTCCAAGCTGCGGGCCATGAACAAGCAGCTGCTGTTGCGTCACTTCGAGCTGAATGGCGAGCAGGACGCGTCCACGGATCAACTGGCCTCGTTCTACGGCAGCTGCATGAACGGCCGGCAGTCGGTGCACGTCTACATGGATGCAGTGCAGCAGCTGCTGCCGGACTGGCCGCTGCTCAACAATGCGAGCCGCTTCGACTGGCCGCGCGGCAATGCGGCCGTGCGTCGCTTCGGCGCCCAGGGCCTGTGGCGCCTCTCGGTGCAGCCCAACTGGCAGGCGGCCGAGCAGCGCGTCTTCTACCTGCTGCCGCCCAGCTTCGATCTGCTGGGCACCAGCGAGCAGAGCGAGTTCTTCTACCAGCGCTACCTCAAGTACTTGCTGCTGGAGCTGGGGCTGCGCGTGCGGCGTGCTGCCAGCCTGGCCGAGCAGCTGGTCGGCTTCGAGCGGCAGTTGCGCGCGCTGCTGCCGCCGTCGGCTGAGACGCTCGTGCTGCACGCGCCGCAAACGCTGCAGGAGCTGGCCGCGCAGCTGCCGCAGCTGCAGCTGCTGGACTACTTCCAGATGCTGCTGGGCGAGCATTATACGACGCAGCTGCTGCTGGTCGCCGACTCGAGCTACTTGCAGCGCCTGCAGAGGTTGCTGCAGCGCGCCGATCCCTGGATCCTGTCCAGCTGGCTGCTGTTGCAGCTGCCGGCCCATTTCGAGCTGCATCTGCACGAGGACGCATCGCTGGCCGCGCAGCGTGACCATTGCCTGCAGCAGCTGAATCAGCTGATGCCCCAGCAGCTCTCGCAGCTCCAGCTGCGGCTCCTGCACGGCAGCGATGCGGCAGCCGCAGCGTTCCTCGATCGCACGCAGCTGCAGCTGCAGCAGCTCTTCGATACGCTCAAGGCGCAGTTCGAGCGCCTGCTGAATGCCACGACCATCTTCGAGCAGGACGCCGTCACGCAGTCACTGGCGCTGCAGAAGCTGCGCGCGATGCGGCTGCTGCTGTCGCCGCCGCTGTCGCTGCCGCAGCAACTGGGCGAGGCGCCACAGCGTGTGCTGCAGTCGCGCAGCTACGACTCGAATCTGCTGCACTTGTCGCGCGCCCAAGCGGAGGCCGAGTTCCAGCTGGGCCTGCAGTGCCTGCAGCTGCCCTGCGAATCGGCCATCGCCTGGACGGGCCACTCGGTCGGGCCCCTGGACGTCAATGTCTACTACAGGCTGAAGTTGAATGCCATCGAGCTGCCGCTGGGCCTCCTGCGGCCGCCACTGCTGCCCCACTGTGCGGCGGCTGGGCGCGAGCAGGCGGCTGCTCAGCTGATGGGCGGCCTGGGCTACATGATCGGGCACGAGCTCATCCACGGCTTCGACTACGACGGCATCAACTACGATGCAGCCGGACGTGTGGCTGGCGGCCAGTGGCCGCCGCGTGCCATCATCCGATTCGGTCTGCGCGCGGGCTGCTACCTGGGCGCTCGCTACAGCAACGCCACGCTGACCATCAACGAGAATATCGCGGACAGCGAGGGACTGCGATTGGCCTACGAGGCGTATCGCATGCAGCAGCCGGCAAATGCGACGATGCGACCCTTTTTCGTCGCCTTTGCGCAGAACTGGTGCGGACAGGCGGTGGCGCCATCTAGCGGCGTCCTTCAGCATGCATCGCACAAGGAACGTGTCAACAATGTGCTGGGCAACTTCCCGGAATTCGCCGAGACCTTCGACTGCAAGGCAGGCAGCCCGATGCATCCGCCGGAGAAGTGCCGCATCTGGTAGCCGGAAAAATCATAATTTTACGGTTGTTCTACGGGGTATATGCGAGAGTAAAGCTTTCCAATTTGAATACCCTTGACTACCTCATTGGAGAGAAGTGGGAATGTTAGTATATAGATAAATAGATGGATAGACATATATATAGATAGACAGATAGATAGATAGGTAGATAGATAGATAGATAGATAGATAGATAGATAGATAGA